TGATCTAAATAAAACTTTCCTAATATGTATATCTTTCGCGCAAAGATCGTCGCGAAAAAACCGTGCAATTCCCGAGCGAGAGGAAGCGACAGGTGACCTCGAAAGGTGAAACTTTCAGCCCGAGTGCGGTAAGCATCGTCTCGCATGATTAACACGAGCGTGTTCTTGCAGATCCTCGATGCGTCGGTGAACAGAGTGCGAGAGCTGACGAACAAGAGTCTGGCCTTGTACAAGAACCTAGCCTATCTCGATCTCAGCGACAATTTTTTGCAAACCATTCAACCGGCAGCGTTCGATAACCTGCGATACCTGGAGGTGTTGGATATGTCGAAGAACGGTTGCGACGATCTGCCGAGCAGCCTCTTCCAGCTGCCTTACCTTCGCAAGGTGTTTCTATACAACAATAAGCTGTCCGACGATCTCTTTCGACGCGTGGACGTCCAATCACCGTTGAATTTTCTTCAATTATCGAAGAACAGGTTCTGCAAAATTCCCCGATTGGGTCCTCTGCCCACGCTCGCGCATCTGAATCTTTCCGAAAACTTGATCTGCTCGGTAACGCCCGAGGACCTGGCTCCGTTCTGCTCTCTGAGCGCCTTAGACCTAACGAAGAACCCGATCAAGTTCAATGCGACAGCCTGCGAGTGCCAAGCGTTCAACTCGTGGCTGAAAGAACGCGCGATTCAAGCGCAACCGGTCTTCAACTGCACGGAAGAGCTGGAAAGAGGATGCCCAGCGAAGATCGAATTCACGAACAGAACGACGGAACTGTACGAAAGGTGCGAGGAGATCTTACGGCTGCGGCTCGAGACCGAGAAAGCCAGAAGCACGTGGATCCTCGTCGCTTCTTGTATATCCGTATTCCTCGCCGTTCTGTTTCTCGGCTTGTTCTGCGTGCATAAGAGGAACGCGCGAACCAAGAAGAAGCTGAAAGAGGAACAGAAACTGAACGCTAGCAACGCCAACACCGAGCTGTTGAACAGCAACCTGAATCAGCCGGAGAACACTTGAACGCTTGAACGCCCCGCGGACAGGTACCGTCGCGACCACTGGAACCTCAGGTACGCTACCGATACATTTACACATGTTATTATTTTTGTTTCGTTTCCTTCGTTTTCTTTTACTATTATTAGTACAGGGTGCGGCGGAAATAACTCCCACATTTTAAAAAATGTTTGAAAAAAAGTGGTACGAGATAACACCAGATACTTTTTATTTGTTAAGGATGCGCAGGAGCCCAGAGCCAAACTCCGAGTTGACTTCAGCAACGGTTGCGGAAAAAGTAGGAAACTTCGGGACAAGGACAGAGAGGGCGATACAACAATTGCGGGAGAAACGAGGACAGGGCGATTGGGACGATTAGCACGATTTTTTTCGAAGATATCGAAGCAAATAAGCAAGATTTTCTAATAATTCTGGTTTTAATATATTCGTTACACTTTGGCGGATGCGACTCCACGACCTGATTTTGCAATTTCGGCCTTAAAACTTAAAATAAAATGAAGATAGCAAACGTACTTTTATTGTTTATAAAGTTTTAAGGCCGAAATTGCAAAATCAGGCCGTGGAGTTGCATCCGCCAAAGTGTAACGAATATATTAACACGTTGATCGCCATGTCACCCATATATGGGTGACAGTGTTTTTCACTGAAGAACAAACAAAATTAATTTTGAATGTTCAGTAACAAAGAAAATAAATTTGAATTAAATTCTTAAACTTCAATGAAGTTATAAAAATAAATATCACAATAAATACTTCATTATGTAGCTTCCAATAATCTAGAAAGAAAACTTAATCACGATAGAAATGTTCAAGAGTGTTAGTCTGGTTGTCGACGTGTTAAAACCAGAATTATTAGAAAATATTGCTTCTTTGCTTCAATATCCTGGAAAAAAAAATCATGCTAGCCTAATCGCGCCCTGTCCTCGTCTCTCCTGCAATTGTTGTATCGCCCTCTCTGTCCTTGTCCCGGAGTTTGGCTCTGGCTCCTGCGCACCCTTAACAAATAAAAAGTATCTGGTGTTATCTCGTACCACTTGTGTTCAATCGTTTTTTAAAATGTGGGAGTTCTTTCTACCGCACCCTGTACAAGCAGTTCCAAGTAATCCGAAGAACGATTCGTATTCTTAATTGCCGTTTCTCATTTTAGGTGCAAAGCGGGTTGAACTTTCAGCGAGGAAGCACGCTTTGTTCAAGTGAATTTCTGCGAGTCGAATAAATTTTAACCTCGTCCTTTTCTATATGCGATGCAATATGACTGAGAGAGCGAATGACAGAAATAGTGTGAAAATAAAATAAAATTGCGGTTGTAGGAGGAAGTATTAGAATTGTAATCCTTCTAGCACGACACGTAACGTGACATTTGGACGCGCTTACATTTTCCTACGAAAACTCATGCGTGGGACACTTTTTCTATATCCACGAGTCGTACACTAATAATCTCTCGTTTGCACGAATAAGCATCAGCTTATAATCGTAATTGTATTCACATTTACGTTCGCGTAAAAGACGTATCTATATTCATCCCTCTTAACATTAAACGAAATCGTATTGTATATACGCTCGTACATATTTATGTATACACGTACTTATGTATGTATTAATTATCGTATTTATTTCTATTTTATAAGTGAAAGATTAATGATATCATTTTTTCGTTCTTCTAAGGTATTCGTTATGCGACAAAAGTTCTAGGAATTTTCGTTGAGTATGCGCCATACGAAGTGTAACAAAAATTGGAACAAAAACGTCCAACGAAATACTAGTTTCTAATATTTATAACACTTTTCACGATTACCGTAATGTTTTGCTGATCGATCGTCTCTGAAAATTATTTTCGCGAGAAGCAGCAGTGGCGTGTACTTAAATTTTATTTAAAAGTAAGGGTTAACCGTTTCGCCGTTGCAATTTCCTAGCTTTGGTATGCGCCGCGTACGGAGTATATCTTAATATGAATATAAATATTAAGATATACATTCCTGGATAAACATTCCATGCGCCGTTAACCAATTGAAGTATTTGCATCGAACTTTTCATAAAATATTTGAAATGGCGTTATTTTCGAAGTGACTAGTTTCGACTTTGTCTCGACAGAAGTTGCTTTGTTTAAGTTTTAAGAGCTCAGGATAAGAGACCCGAATTGGACGTAGCTAAATATCAACAAACATTGCTCGCTCGTACGATCCGCGATCTATCGACAACGATAACTCTTCGTATGCGTGCATAATGTGTACTTAAACTATGTTTTAACGCGTTTATAATCCATAGTCTCTCTTACTGTTAGCTTTTAATACGTAATAGATGTAAACGTACCTATACGTTGTACAAAAATGTTACCAAATGTTTGGCAAATTCCATTAAATAAATCTTAAATTGAATTGCCCTTCTTTTTATCGAAAGACCAGAAGTTATTTCATTTTCCAACACGATAAAACTGTTGAAAGACAATTGGAGAACCAGTAGGAAAAATGGAAAAAATACAAACATTACTCGAACATTACGCATTTTTCATTACTCCAAAGTAAATCTAGTTACATAACTAAATTATAATACTCGATCAAACTTCCCCAACTGTACTAATCATAACAAAACCCAATTACAGAAAGCATTAGTAACGATATATTTTCTAGAACAAAATTCTTAAATTATTATTTGATTATAATTTTTAATAAAATTTTGCAACGAGCAACGGTTGACGTGACGACAAACGTGTCGAGAAATAAAAGTTTAATCCTTGAAAAGATAAGCTATTTTAATCTCTACGTATCGCAAACTTGACGATGAAACATTGTTATTTTATATCGATCCATGGGACTTGTCTCGCAAGGTTGATCACTCGTTACAACACGTGTCCATACACATATTCATGCGTTAATCGAATCGTTAATCGCAAACGGAAATTTCGCCTAATCTCGACTATGATTTGATAACTCTGAATCCCTAAGCATCGGCTAACAATAAGCTTAGCTGGCTAATCTTCTTTCCGCGAGGCCAAGCCTGAGCCTGAGCTGCTTGAGTTGAGTCAATGAGTTTGTGTCAATGAGTCAATGAGCAGTGTGCGTGAAATCCCGAAATTACATATTTCCACATATAACAGCATATAGGCAAGTTACATTGTAATTATCATAATTCAACTTCTAATTGTCGATTAGTACACTAATAATTGATTGATACTAAAGTTTTTTAAATAAATAAAATACCGAATATGTGGCGCCACCTCTCAACGAACCGCCTAAGTTTGTCGTGAGATAGCTTTCATCTCTCGCCGCTAGATGTCGCCACTGACATAAAATATTCAAAACATAATTTCTCTAGTTTTCCCTGCATATAAATGTGATTTTACATTCTAACTACCCTAATTCAACTTCTAATTGTCGATTAGTACACGAATAATTGTCTAATGCCTAGTTTTTTAAACGAATAAAAACCGAGCGGTTTGCTTTTTCCGAGCCACTTTCTTGTTTCGAGTACTCGGCTCGGCTCGGTCCAGCTCGGTTAGGCTCGGCTAGGTCCGGCTCGGTTCGGCTCTGCTCGCTTTTCCGGGCTTTTCGACGCCACTATTTGCGATCTTCTTTGTATTGTCACTTTATGATAATAAGCCACGTTACTAATTCACGCAATTCAACTGTTTGCTGATTTCTTAATCTCGATGACAATGTTCTTTATTTATCTGTTACGTCGGATGTATCGGTGATAAGAAAATTTTCGAATTATATTTTCGTGGTTGCTTTCGTAAGATGTCGGTAACAAGCGTCGGCATGGAAAGAAACAGGAGTAATGTAACGAAAAATGCAATTACATACATACAAGGTATAAGCGCGAACAGCGGAGCGCGAGGTGCGGAGTGCGGACCAGACACCAACACAAAGCACTAACTCCGCGGAGATTCGCCAAAAGTATACCCACCAGCCAACCCACCACGGCCGCTGTTCCCAATCACGTGTTAGTTTAAGGTTAACCAATGACACATGCGACTATGCGAGCATTGCCCAGTTGAGCTGAGACTGTGAGCATCAGTCGAGCAGTCGAGTAACGACCTTCTACTTAAGTGGATGCTGGTTGTCATCCGATAAATTGCTCAACAATTAAAAAGTAATGGGACGTTCGTGTACCGAAGACTAGACAGGATTATTTTCTTCGATCGTGAGTGACACTATACGCAAACCAACATTTCTTTCTACTTTTCCTCTATTACCATTTCATTTTCAACACGAACCATCGATTGAATCGAATCAAACCTATTCTATCGTTTTCCGGCGGGACGGTGCGGGGAGGCAACACAGAAATATACCACGAATTCACGACTCATCAGACGTCGAACGGTCGAACGCGATTCAATTAACGCTCGATCAATTATTATTGACGATAAACCGTCTTAAAAATACCGTTTGATTGATCATAAGCAGTCTCGAAATTTTAAATCGTCTACCGTTACATAAGTTGCGCTCAATTTACGGTTTTCTTTGTTGTCATTAAATAAATGTAACTCGGGGAACTCGTATACGGTATCGCGCGTCTATGCGAGGATAAATAACCTGATAAATTCCTAAAATAACTATGAGCAAAACGAATCTAACACGCACGAGTTATCACAATTGATTTCTATGAAATCTGCAATTGTAGTTGCAAGTTGCAAATTTTTCCTCGTACAAACAATGCGAGATATCAAGTATTTCTCAGCACTTCAATAATCTCGAGTGTTTACCAATAAATTACGTAACTCGATTAACGGTTATTTCCACGTACAAAAATTAATCAGACGCATGAAATCTTTGCAAACTACCTACGTTTCCGGAACAATTAAGATTGAAAATGTTTTAGACGCGCGTTTAATGATTGTGTTTACGCGCAAGGTGTACAAAGTGATGAGTTCATTACACTAATGACACCTGTTCGGTGCACTGTACACACGTTGTGCAACGTTACTGCTCAAACACAATTAGTTTTCCTTCGAATGTATTCAACGTTACGTTTACGCGTTCGGCGTTACGCTTACACACTTGGAAACGTGACTTAACATGCTTCCCATCCGAACTCTTCGAACATTTCGATTCATTTTTCTTCTAATTACGAAATGTCTCGAATGCTCTTTTTTAAAAATGCAATCAAGTATTTTCTCTTATAAATTTTCTTTTCCTATATAGCTGCCTATAATGAAACATTTTTAATCGAATTCATTTAATTAACTAAGCGATTTGTTCGAAGACGAAGGCTCGCTCGAATTAATTTTATTTCGCATTCTCGATTCGTTTCTCTCGGATGAATCACTTTAGCCTACACCCCATATATGATATGTGAGACAACCTAAATAATTGTGGAAAAATACATTGTCGTTTTTGAGATTCAACGGATCTCTTATCAAAATTTACTTTGTATACAATTTTGAATGTCGCATGATAAACGGTTTCATACTTTATAAACATGTTTGTGTATGGTAAATTTCTTTCCTGTCTTTTCTACTTTTTAAAAGCGAAACTCACCTCCTGAGCATGACTGCGAAAGTACATTGTAACATGTTATAGAATTGTTTGCTATTGAAATAGTAGTTCAGCTTATCATTGTTTTACAAAGATGTATGGTACTCTAGAACATGTAGCTTTTGAATCGAAATAGAGAAGTGATTATGTCAATAAGTTATTTTATCTCCTCTGTTGTTTAATTTCACAGGCGTAGTAGTATGTATAACAGATATGAATCAACCATCGGTAGTTCTACCATTAAGTAATAAGTAAAGTTCAGCAAGATACACATATAGGTATATAAATCAATGCTCTCATGAAAGATTGTCTTGTACATTTAGTAGATATAAATGTGTGTTATGAAGTGTCGCCATCGTAGCATACTTACAAGTGGATTTACTATTTATTTAATATCTTGTCTTTTAACTTGTATTAAATGTAAATTTAAAAGTCGTCAAAATTTCGAATCTAATTTGATATGTCTTCATTTATAAATAGAAAGTGATATCAGTATAAAGTCATGCTTGTGTATGTATGTTCAGAATATATTTCATATTTACTTATCTAACTTATCATTGTGTATACTGTTCCCCACGATGTGTGGAAAATTCAGTGAAATTAGTAATCACCCGTTTATTTTATGGATTATGTTTCATTAAGTGATAAATAAACTTTAACATCATTTACAATTTATTATTATTATTATCATCATTAGGCTTAAAAAGTAAAATAAGACGTATCTTTTATACACATTTGTTAAAGCATTGTATGTCATTATCTTCTATGTGATTCGTTAAGATTCTAATAGGTTGTTTATGTATATACCAATTTCATTTAAAATATATAATCTTATTTATAATGAGTTTAGAATGTTTTGTGTTATCTTTGCATCCATCTTTATAGGAACAACGAATAGCTAAATGCTAAAGTATCATGGATGGAAAAGTAAAAACAGAAAGAGTAAAGAATCCACGAGAAGGAGCAAATCCTCTTAGCGCCTTAACATTTTCGTAAGTTTTATGAAATATATGACCAGTTGCTTTTTTTCCTTGTCATCGTCTGTTAATAGAAATGTAAAATCATGATGATATACGATCTGAGCTTTCGAAGTATCTCTGTATCAGATACAAATAAGCCGTCTGTTGATAGGAGAAGAACTATCTTGAATTCCTTTAATGAACAAATAGACATACTTTTTGATATGTTATCTATTAGTATTCTTATATAGAACCTTTGAAGGTAGTTCTTTGTTATCTTTATCGATTACCATTGATATTAAATGCTCAAAAACAAAGATAATTCTCCAACCTTCGTATGTTCGATGCAAACGTTGATTTAAAGATAGTAAAAACTGGAATTATATAGATAGTACTATTTTTCCCTAATACTATTTTTAATAGAATTGTTATCTATTGTAGTAATCGAAATTACCTTTTCTTAATAGATGGATTCTACGTACTTTTTGGGACGGTTATCGAAAAGAGTTAGAAATAAATGATTTATGCAAACCCCTTAAGGAACACACAAGCAGTATTTTAGGTACAAAAATTGTTAAGGCATGGGAAAAGGAATGCGAAGCTTATGAAAAGCGCAAGTTACTAAGCGAAGAAAACGAAAATAGTAGTAAGAAATATGACACGAAAAAAAAAGTGAAGGAGCCCAGTTTAAAAAAAGTTCTTATCAAATGTTTTGGTCTTCGATTACTGGTATATGGACTAATTTTAGCAGTTATGGAGATATTGCTTAGGTATGTAATACAAGTATGGTATCGTTTAACTACAAAAATTATTATTATTATTAAGTATAGGTTTTTAAATCTTTCTACTGCTTGTTCAGATTATCACAGCCCATGTTTCTTGGCCTTCTTATCCGTTACTACAATCAGAAGAAAATTGCCCAGTTACTGCCCAGTTTATACAATTCTTCCAATTCGCAAGTTCATGAAAATGAAGATGCGACGAGATCGTTAAGTCTCTGAATCCCCCTTTGCATCCCGTGTACCTACTAATTCTCTATGCTTCCTTTTAGAAGCTTAACTCTTTTTTAATTTGAACGTTTGAAAAATATCTAAATAAATATCTCAAGATAAAGATATCTTGAGATTACATAGTACAATAATTATCCCGTAAAGCGTTGTTGCAATAATAATTTTGAAAACTTGCAGTTAAACGTCGACGCTAATTTCCCCTAATTCGCTTTACAGGGTATTGCAACCAATATTTCTTGGTCAACTATTGAGATACTATAGCAGCAATACAATAACAAAAGAGGAAGCTTACTTATACGCGACTGGTGTGATATTATGTTCGGGATTGTTAATATTCGTTATTCATCCATATATGATGGCCATCCTTCATATGGGAATGAAAATGCGTGTGGCTTGTTGCACGTTAATATATAGGAAAGCATTGAGACTTTCAAGAACAGCTTTGGGTGAAACCACAATAGGGCAAGCAGTCAATCTCTTGTCCAACGACGTCAACAGATTCGACGTAGCAATTATATTTTTGCATTATTTATGGATCGGTCCTCTCGAGACCATTCTCATTATATATTTCATGTACGAGGAAGTTGAAGTATCTGCTTTCATCGGTGTCGCAACCCTTCTAATGTTCATTCCCTTGCAAGGTACAGAAAATTAATCTCTTTTCATTTGCGACGCATTGTTTCCACGATATATGTTACACTGTGTTTTCAAAACGCGTAGGTTACTTGGGTAAAAAGTCCTCGATATTACGACTGAAAACCGCTATAAGGACGGACGAAAGAGTTCGATTGACGAACGAAATCATTGGTGGTATTCAGGCGATTAAGATGTATACTTGGGAAAAGCCGTTCAGTGCTTTAGTCGAGAAAGCAAGAAGGTAATTTTTTATACGACTAAAATCTTTACAAGTACACGACTTTGTGCGTTATTTCAGGAGAGAAATCAATGTAGTACGGCTCACTTCTTATATTAGAGGCATCACCATGTCTTTTATGATATTTAGTACGAGAATGTCGCTTTTCATTACCATATTAGCGTACGTCTTATATGGTCATAGAATAACTGCCGAGAAAGTATTTATGTTGACGGCTTATTACAATATTTTACGTCAGACTATGACGGTCTACTTTCCGCAAGGTAGGTGCAATTGAATAATCGTGAATCGTATCGATGTGAATCACACGAAGATTTGGTAAAACGTTGGATGTTGCGCAGGTATAACGCAAATAGCGGAAGCACTCGTTTCTATAAAGCGTTTGCAAAAGTTCATGATGTACGAGGAAATTGGACCCACAAACGATAAGAAAGGATATGGAAAAGAAGAGTTAAAGGATCTGGCGAAGAAAAATAATGATGTTAACGGTGTAAATAAAGAAGGGAATGACATTAAAGATGACAAAATTGATACGAATAGTTATCAAGAAGACAGTACTATATCTTTAAAGAATGTTTGCGCAAAGTGGTTTTCGTACGACAACGGGGACACATTGAAGAACATCAACATCACCGTAAAACCGGGCGAGCTGATCGCTGTTGTTGGTCAAGTTGGTGCTGGCAAAAGTAGTTTACTTAACGTGATATTAAAGGAATTGCCTGTACACGCAGGTTCTGTACAGGTTCGTATTATTCTTTCTTCTTTTTTCTTTTTTTTTTTTTATTGCAATAATATTATCAATACTATAATTACTACTATACTATAATTATGTTTTGCAGATAAACGGCAAGTTGGCATACGCTAGTCAAGAACCGTGGCTATTTGCCGGCTCTGTTAGACAAAATATTCTGTTCGGCAGGCAAATGGATCAGTTCCGATACGATCGTGTAGTCCGAGTATGCCAATTAAAAAGGGATTTTACTTTGTTGCCGTACGGCGATAAAACAATCGTGGGCGAAAGAGGAATTAGTTTGTCGGGCGGGCAACGTGCTAGGTTGGTAATTGTAATATTAATTAAAAAAGTCAATATAGGTCGATTTTGATATAAGAAGATGGCTTATGTATCGATTCACACACGTAGGATTAACTTAGCAAGAGCGATATACACGGAAGCCGACTTGTACTTACTGGACGATCCTTTGAGCGCCGTAGACGCTCACGTTGGCAAGCACATGTTCGAGGAATGCATCGACAAATATTTAAGGGGAAAAACTAGAGTTCTTGTTACCCATCAATTGCAATACTTGAGATATGTTGATAGAATAATCGTTATGAAAGACGGATCGGTTAAAGCACAGGGGTAGGTTCAATTTACGCTTTGATTCGAATGCTTAAATTTCCCTGAATGATACTTATGATCCTTCTTTCTCATCGTAGTACTTACGACGAATTGGGCGCCATGGGCGTAGATTTTGGGAGGTTGTTGGAGAATCCACCACCATTGGAAGAGGAACGATCGGGGACTGCACCTCCGAGTAGGAGCAATTCTCGGAACGGCAGTATTACGTCTTTAAGTTCATTCATGAGCAGCGTCACCGATAAGTTGGATCCGGTCGAGGTAAGTATTCGAAAGCCGAATATAAATTTGAAAATCGCGCAAAGCGTCCGCGAATGTTTCCAATGTTTTATGAAATATGGTATTTAGGTAGCCGAAGCACGTACAAGAGGCAAGGTTTCCGGTAAAGTGTATCTAGGATATTTCCGAGCCGGTGGAAATTGGTGTGTCGTGTTTATGGTTGTTTTTCTGTGCGTACTTGCGCAATTAGTAGCCAGTTGTGGGGATTTCTTTATCTCTCAATGGGTTAATATGGAAGAACGATTCGTGAGTATTTTTATCTCTTTAAATTGTTCTCTCGACAAGTAGTTACAAGTTACAAGTTAATCGTAATCAGGAAATGTGATTTTGTTTATAGGTCCACGATAAATCGAATGGTACCATTGAAAACGATAGGCAGAGTCCGTTGGCTTGTGACACGTGCATATATTTGTACAGCGGTTTAACCATTTTCACGGTAATAATTACTCTAATGCGTTCGATCTCATTCTTCAGAACGTGCATGCAAGCGTCTGTTAGGCTGCACGATCGCATGTTCCAAAATATCAGCCGCGCAACGATGCGTTTCTTTAACACGAACACATCAGGACGTGTTCTTAATAGATTTTCGAAAGACATGGGCGCCATAGACGAACTATTACCGGTAGCACTGATCGATAGCCTGCAAATTGGACTGGCTCTCATTGGAATCATCGTAGTGGTCGCAATAGCCAATCCATGGTTAATGATACCTACAGTGGCAATCGGAATACTCTTTTACTACATCCGCGTGTTTTACGTAGCGACCAGCCGCAGCGTGAAACGACTCGAAGGAATCAGTGAGTACCACTTTTTTCCCCGATTCCAATAAATCAGTTCCCCAATGCCCTTACTCTCTTACTTGTCTTCTAAGAGAGAGTCGCGCGAGAAAACCAAGTTTTTTCACGAAAATAATCTGTAAATAATAGCTCGATCGCCGGTATTCGGCCATCTGAATGCCACGCTGCAAGGGTTACCAACCATTCGAGCTTTCGGAGCGCAAGAAATTCTTATAAAGGAATTCGATCAACACCAGGACTTGCACTCAGCGGCGTGGTACCTATTCATAGGATCCTCGAGAGCGTTTGGATTTTGGCTCGATCTCTTCTGTGTCGTCTACATCATCTTGGTTACTTATAGCTTTTTGTTCATCGGCGATAACGAGAAAGGTGGCGACGTCGGACTAGCCATAACCCAGAGCATCGGGTTAACGGGTATGTTCCAGTGGGGCATGCGGCAAAGTACCGAGCTAGAGAATCAAATGACTTCCGTTGAGCGCGTGTTGGAATACAGGTGGGTACCGCGGCAGATGCAAAATACCTATACACGTTTCATTTCAACGACCACCAAACTCGTATGTTTTTTCTAGCAAAGTGGAGAACGAGCCGGCGCTCGAAAGCACGCCGGATAAAAAACCCCGAGATAGTTGGCCCGAGGAGGGAAAAATCGAATTCAAACAAGTGGCGATGAGGTACGATCCGGCGGAGCCTCCGGTGTTGAAGAATTTGAACTTTTTGATTTATCCCCAAGAAAAGATTGGGATTGTCGGAAGAACAGGTGCTGGAAAGTCGTCCTTGATCTCGGCTCTGTTTCGCCTCGCAGATCTCGAAGGTGCCATCGTGATAGATGGGGTCAACACCGTCGAGATAGGTCTTCACGATTTACGTTCCAAGATCAGTATAATTCCTCAAGAACCGTTTTTGTTCTCGGGCACAATGAGAAAGAATTTGGATCCCTTCGGCAGCTACGACGATAGCGTGCTCTGGCAAGCATTGGAGGATGTTGAGATCAAGGAAATGGGTCTGGAGGCTCACATTAACGAGGGTGGCTCGAATCTGAGCGTGGGACAGCGTCAGATCGTGTGCCTGGCTCGCGCAATCGTCCGAAACAATCCCATTCTCATTCTCGACGAAGCTACGGCGAACGTTGATCCGCGAACCGATGAATTGATCCAACTTACGATTCGCAGAAAATTTGCGAAATGCACCGTATTAACCATCGCTCATCGACTCAACACTGTCATGGATAGCGATCGTATTTTGGTAATGGATGCTGGCAGCGCTGTGGTAAGCTTCTTCCCAAGATTTCAGAGATTCGGATGCGAATCGAAAAGAGAGAATAATATACTCGAGTTTGTTTGATCGCAGGAATTCGATGCCCCTTACGTGCTTTTGCAAAAGGAGTCTGGATATTTGAAGAGCATGGTGAACGAGACGGGACCAGCAATGGCGGAAGTCTTGAAAGAAATCGCTCGCGAAAGCTATCAAAATCGTACATCAACTGCCCTTTGATAAACGTTCAACGGATTCGTCAATTTCCAAGTTGGACTGTCTGCATTGAGTCCCGTTATTGATGACTGTACTTTCTACTTTTACAGAAACCATCCGTGGATTATTTAGCGCGATCAAAGAGTGCCCTATCTATCGTTATGATCGATTGTGTCACCCAGTGTCGTTGGTATGAAACGGCCCCATTGAATAATCGTGATTTGTCGTTTTCGAGATTTTTCGAGAATTTCGCGTTCCTGGATACAGTATTATTACATAGATTTTTTATAAACAGCTGCCTTTTCTATACACGACTTTTTACTCTGGAAACTGTCGCGAGTTATATCGTACTTAATCGCATCGCGGACTATTTTTCTATACGTTAGAGAAAATGGTTCTCCTACCACCGTTGCTATTTTCTAATTTGTTAGCAATTTATCTACGCAGGATATTCGTTTTTTCTTGCCCTTACGTTGGTGCTGTAAGTACAAAAGCCGTATGTCGAGAAAGAACACGTGTCTACCTTCTAACAATAAGATAGAAAATTATTTTGCTCGATACGCGTGCTATGTCCGGAAACAGTTTGTATTAAAACACCTAAGGTGTACTTTATTTGTGTCTATATAGTTGTCGAAAGAATTCGCGGATCGAAGTTTTTTCTATTTTTGCTTGTATCACAACAACGTTTTACGCGTAAGATACGTTGGAACGAACGAGAGTCGCTTTACCAATACAAACAAACCACTTGGTCAGTTTGTACCGCGCCGAAGAGTGAAATTCTTCCTATACCGACTTAAAGATATACATGTGTATATATATATATATATATATCTATACATATTTTATTCATTCGTCTCGTTTGTATCGGTTTATGTACCGCTTACTTAGCCAACGACGACGACGACGACGACGACGAACAAGTAAGCGAACACTGTACTTTTAGGTGAAAACAATTGCCTTGCGTATAAGTGCCTATGTAATTTTATTATTACAAATGAAAAATATAGATCTAGAGCATTATTTATGTTAATAATACAATGTCTTTTTCTCTTCCTTAAACGGTTTCTCAAAATCACTCTTTAGATCTCTCGAATAAACGACGGCCGTACAACAAACACGTTTCTACATAACAATAAATCGGCAGTGGTTTCAGCATGTTTTCGAAGTGTAATTTATTTTCTACGATAATTAAGATAAAAAGTAACAATCAAACGATTTCTGTAAATATAAATATTCTTGTTTTTTATTTTTTTTATTTATTTATTTTTTTATTGAATTTCACGAACAACAATCTCCGCTGCAGCCTGTGACGGCATGAAGAAGAAACAGAGTTTCAATTTTTGGTTCACAGGGTTTTACTCAGACATGTTTTTACGCATGGAACGCGTACCTCTAACGGGTGTCTCGAACGTGTTCCACATTCACAGAAACAGTTTCAATTCGTCGATTCTAGTGGTACGACACAAAACGATAAAGAAAAACAAACATGCCATATTTCTTTCGTTCTGTTCCGTTTCTTAGATTATTCTCCGTTTCAGAATCTATTTAAAAAAAAAAAAAAAAGAAAGAAAGAAAGAACAAGTTTCAGACGACGCGCTTGCCCCGTCGTATCAGTTCTTATTGCTAAACGAAGAAACGAGTGTAACGTCTATGTCTATACTCTGCTTACTCGGCTCGCAACGATCGCTCGCGACGCGGATCGTCCTAGCGTGTTCTCGCGAGTCAAGTACACTAGTGTATTGTAATACTGACAGTAAAGAGATTACTATGCGATATTAAAATTAAGCTCACCTCGCGAGAATCCGTCCGTGACGCCTAAAGTACAATTACGCGATTAACAACTACGGTATACATAATACGTGGTTTAAGAGAATGCTCCATTTTAATCTAAAAACGATGTTAAACGAGAAACAACGCGAGATTTAAAGAAAAATCTATATTAACGGGTGTTGAGCGGCAGATATGTCTCGAGGGTCCCTCGAGTTTCCTTAAATATTTTTCTTTTCTCCGTCACGATTTCGTTTATAGATTAAAACAGACCACCGGCTATAGGCGATAATTATTTTAGAATTACAGGTATAGTATTATCGTTTTCGTTACGTTCTCGGATACAATTCTCTAAGTCTCCAGTAGTCGCTCGATGAAACGATGATCCCCAAAGAACAGTATAAAAATTGGCGTGTACACGCGCGCGCGCGCGCGTCGTATATGACGTATGTATCCTTTTCCTCTGGTACGTGTATATACAAAACAGTAGAAAATACTTACGCGTTCGTTGATCTCGTCACGTATCTTTGACAAGTGAAACACGCTTAGAAAAGTGTTCCCGGAAACGTAGATGCGCGTTGCTCGTGCGTTTTCGGATTCGTTAACGAAAATCGATCAATTTTAACGGTTATAAATAAAACGTAACTAGCTAAATAAATAAGAGAGCACCGATAAGTATGCAATATATACAAACAGAGGAAAGAAGCCCAGCGATGAGTGATTACGCAACGCAAACAATGAGATTCGTTTCCTTTTTTTTTCTCTGTCGGGCCTCGCTTTAAAAGAAATTCGTCCCGAGCTGGTTTTCTAGCAGCAAAGCAACGTTTCTCTAACTCTGCAACGCAACAGTGCGTAACGCACGAACGTTGTATGGGATAATTCTAGGAACTGAGAAACGTGTGCACCCATCGAAGATTATATATATATAGATATAGAATTTCGTCGGGTATAGATTTTCAATTCGTACTCGTTCGAAGAGCGATTCCCTTTAATACGAATCAAACATGACGCATGGAATGAATGAAAATTCGGAAAAGGGACTGTATCCGATCGCTTCGGATAGAATCCGTTTAAAAGTTTTTAACACTCGCGTGAAGGAAGACTACGCGTTTCTCGGTTTCGGTTTTTCTATGTATATCATGCTACAATGGACAAATATCGAGAAATGTTTCGTCGCGTACCAGCGATTCGTCAATGTTGCAAACAAAACGAAACGAGACGATCTTCTCGTCGTCATTCGATAGGGTTAAACGATAAATAATAAAGACAATTTCGAGACATTAAAAATGGGAATTTCCGTACATAGTTATACGCGTATTTGAATATTTTACGAGGAAACATCCCGTTCGTTGGGAAAGTCTCGCAAGATCGATCGTAAAAATCGAGCGGGAATTCTCGGGAATTCTCTCGAACGATGTCCATTCGAACGGCGGGTTCGTGGAAGCGGGAAAGAAAAGTTGGTACGCGCTCGTTTTTCGATACTTTCGACTATTTAAACAAGAACCTCGAGACTTTCGCGCGACCGAGCCTTTTGTTGTCCGCACTTTTCGTTCGCTTGAACGATCATAGCGACCGATTGGCACCCGGTCTCGTCGCCGATTGGTCGAACGGGTGGCATCGCTAGTCTAAACTGGTACCAGAATTTTTGATTATTCGAACCGCCACCCCCATTTCCGCCACCGCCGCCGGCACCACCACCGCAAATGACTCCGACGCTCCCGCCACCCTCGTTCCAATGCAAAATTTTTAAACGATCCAGGGAAAGATCACCGGTATCGCAACCTCGGGTCGATCGCTTCGCAATCGTCGCCACGTCCGGTATATCTTTCGTGACGATCACTATCGTCCGCGTCACGAGCGTCGACAGCTGTTTCAGAATCGTCCCAACGCTCGTCTCGTTCCAAACGTTTTCCAGGGACGCGGGACTCAGCACGACAACGATCCTACGACAGGAGGCAGCGTGCGGACCGATCTCCAGGTTCCCTGAAAAATAATTCGCTTTAGATTATTTATTATCGTCTAATCTGCGTAGAGCGTAGATTCGACGAAAGAAAAGTTGTCGAAACGAGTTGGCCAAGCTGGTGCACGCGAGACCAGGATTGCTCGACTTCTCGTACACGCCTAACTCGGAACCGTCGGCATCGTCGTCGTCGTCGTAGGCGTCGCGGTTGTCACCGGGAGACAAACGAGACACTGGGCGTTCGAGGGACCGGCCAACTTCCTAATTCAATTTACCGACGACTCCGTGTCCCCGTAATTTCGCGACCCCGAAGGATCCGTGTTATCTTCTCGCTATCTCCTATGAGCGAATCGCGCCGCAGTTCACGGAGCGAACAGAGCGAAACGTGGCTTCTGAAACTACCATTACGTACTCCTACGAGTTGTAAACTTTTACCTCGATAGAGGAAAGCCTATAGACGAAGGGACGTTTTTCCGCCTCCGAAAAGGTTGCGTTGTATTTAATAATTTAACCAAATTCATCGAGAGCTAGCGAGTGTAATAATTTTAATGTTTTTCGAAGTAGGTTATGTTTTTTTTCCAAAAATTTATTTTACCTTATAAACCGATTATCTGGTTTAATCTTTAGCGATACTACACTTTTCCACATCCCGATAGGCGAACGCGACGATACGGATATTTCGAGTATCATCCCCGAAGGGATGTTCGCGATTATCGAGACTAGAGCGGGCTCGGAATTTCTCCAGCGAAAGCGGTGGAAAAGAAAGAGAGAAAAAAACCGCGGGACGCGAAGCGAAATTTATGTATAGGTTACTTTGCATCAACGGATCGGAGTTTGCTAACGTATAGCAATTTGCATGAACGAAATCGAAGCGGTCCCACGAGAAGGTATCTACACGGGCCCAATTTTCTCCTGCCAATTAGAGGGAAATTAGCATCCGAATATTTCTCGTCGAGCAAACCATCAACGCGTCGCACGCTTAACCGTCCGGTTGATATTCATGAGATGTGAAACTAGCCCTCCGCTATACAGCAAACTTGTACGACAAACTTTTCGCCCTTTTTCGCGGTAATCGCGATCGTTTCGCTCTCTTCATCTTCCCCGATTTCGTCCAGCGGTATGCGCGACCGTAAACCCCGCTACGAAATACGAGCTAACGATTTACATCGCGTCCAATCTTTTTCTTAATCTCGCCCGGTAATCGACCATTTCCTATGGTTCATATGGTTCGTCGAGCTCGCGAAACTACTCGTTTCCGCCAGATTCTTACCATTTTAGTTCGTAACCAAGACCAGCCGCGGGTAGGAACCTCAACGATGCTATCTATCGACGAGAGCTTTGCACGGAGGAAACTTACTTCTCGCGGCATTCAACCCTTTGCAACTCGAGAAGTGACTCGAGAGGCGTGATTAGGTTTCACGCAGCAAATCTATCAGATAGACTGGAAAGTAATGTCGTTTTTGCAATTTTAAATCCTTGTTCATCGCTCAACAGCTCGTTGATTTTTATCGGTCATTGATCATTTGCGCATTAGGTGGATGTTGATAACGAGGGCGATCACATAATTGCTTAAGAGTAGAAATTTATCAAAAATTTGTTTGAATTCAATATAAAAGGAACGACATTACTTTCCAGTCTACCTGATACAATACTTGATGTTTCTTTAGGTTTAATTTCTTTGGAATTCGAAGTGTCGATAAAACGATTGTCGTTGAGACAAAGGTGACCTTAGTCTTAAATCTATATATACCTTGGAATTCATGGCAATAGAACGCTAAGAAACATCACGAGTTGCTGGTAGATACCAGAAAAAAAGGTATCGAGTAGCAAAAGGTTAATCCATGTCGCAACTTACAATTCTGATTCAGGTGAGAGAGCTCGAGCGGCGTGCACTTGTATCGATGTCTGGTCTCTAGGGTAGGTATCGCTATACCGACAGCCAGGTTGGCGTCCTTTTCGTGGTAGCAGATCAGCGCGTCGCATTCCTTTCCATCTGCAATCCGTGTCGATGACGCGATTAGTAGGGATAGTATCTATCCGGTGAATTAGGCGAAGTTGAATTTCCAAGGATTCTTTTTTCTACTCGCAACCGAAAGCGTTGCGACGACGGCTTTCGAACGCTACGAATTCCGTGGTGGATACGAGGGCGAGGCGAAAGTGTCGGTTCGTTCGTTCGTTTATGTAACGATTCGCACGAATAAGGAGAGTCGGACACGAACGAAACCGAGTCGTGCGAATCACCGTCCGCGATCGTTCTCTGGTAAATTCCTGACGGCCTCGCATTCTTCGCGGCGAACATTTCGAGCGACGATCGGATAGGTAACCCGGTGAAACGCGATTCGCGTCGCGGTTGACAGAAAACGTTTCGTTCGCGAGCGCGTTCGCGAACGAGAGAGAGAGAGAGAGAGAGAGAGAGGGGGGGGGGGGGGTTCAGACGGTTAACAAAGAGAAAACGATCTCCGGTAAAACGTTAATGGGAGATGTCGCGGTGGTCGTTCTCGGAAACACCGTAATCGCGGTAATTTTCTACTTTCCGTATACGGGGCACTCGCTGGGACGCCGACGGCACTCGGCTGGCCAAGCCCCATAGGCGAGATATCTCGTTCCCGAGGCGGGATATACGTGTATACGTATCTCCTTCCGTAAGAGGCATCGGTTTAACCGTTTAACACGTGTAACTCGCGAGCCGCGGCCACACGCCCGACGATTTATCGTCCACGATTCCTCCGCTTTTCGTTCGTTTCCACTCGCAGAGCGCGTTCCTTTCCTTCGGACGATCGCGGATCGAATCGAATCGGATCGAATCTCGGGTTGGCTCAGAGAAAGGGATGATTCTTAACCGACATCACGGGACGGGTTATCGTCCCGCGACAACGGATCCTATTAATTAATGATAAAACTAAGCGACGAGCAAAAACCCGCGCATCGAGCAAAGCCGTTAAAGTAACTCTCTCGCTTTCCCATTCCGACGATAAAAAAAAAAAAAAAAAAAACCAAACGAACGAGTCATTTGCGCGGTTGCCGCTCACGGTGCTTTACCAAGCTGGATTAAACGTAGATTAAGAGACGTAAATACTGGTTACGCGGCTACCGACTCGTATTTCCGCAACGGAAAGATATCTATTCGAAGTGCGAGTAAAATTTGTACAAAACGACGCGGTTGGTTCCCTCGGTAATTAAAAATCACGATTAACAGTCCCTACGTCCCATCACCCTCGATAATTACCGTTCTCCTCGAGAGGAGCGAACTTGTCGCGACAAAACAGCACCAAAGGTAGCCAGCATCTTGCGTAAAACGCGCCGGCTGAGATCAGGAGAACTAGCACCAGTACGCCGAGCAGGAACGACTTCCTCCAGGATCCATTTTGAAGTCCCAACGCGAACTGTGGTTCTGTAAATAACGAACGCTCCTCTTAACTCCTCTTCGCCTTTGTTTGCGATTATTCTTCCGCTTCGCTCGTCGAATCAACTCGATTATTTAAAAAAAAAAAAGAAGAAGAGAAAAATAATCGATCGTCGACCATGTTATATTCGTCGTTACGCGAGTACGAAAACTACCGGGACGGGTTTGTTTGAAAAGCATACGGCCGCAAATCCCCGGTCACGATTGCGCGTATGACGTTCGTTTAATTGGCTGAAATTAATTGGGCCAAGCTGTCGCTGTCGCCGTCGGTAACGAGCAGCGAATTTAATCGGATTCGATTGAAATCGGTACGGGTCGCGCCGATATAAAGTATGTCTGATCGTTAATTGGTGCGAGACGAGTGGGGAACGAATACTCGATAGTTTTTCCGGCGTGCGAGACGGAACGGAAATGGAAACGGGAAGCGTTCGCGTTCTTCTTGGCGAAAAGCGCACGCGGTACCGCACGAGAGGAAGAATATACAACGAGGAAAGAATACGCAACAAGGACAAGGATTCCTCTATAGAGAGGAATTTTTGTCGGTGCTAGTTTTTTCTTGCTCGTCCGAGCAAGAGATAACTGCCTCGCGCTCCTTAACCGTGAGACAGATTAAAAGGCTTAGTTACATACCTTGTCGGTAAACGTGAGCGGGTAACGTGATCTCCTCGTCCACGCCGTTGCTAACTTCGCACTTGTACTCCCCGTAATCTTCCAGAGTTATGTCCTCGATTTCCAAATAAGAGCCGATGATCTGATTGTTTTCTCTGAAAGCGAGTCGTTAATCTTTAGGTGGACGCGTCGAGTTGGAATGGTTTCTTATTCGTTACAAAAAAATGAAACAAGTGGTACACGCGGTTGCTGTATTGGAAGCTTAACCTTTCGATGCACGATGAGATGTTTGGAAAAAAAAAACAAAAAAAAAAAGACCACTCATTTAAACCAGGGCTTCCTAAACTATGTTGTTTTGAAAAGAATAAAGAGAGACTGTAAGTATACCGCAATAAATCTGCCGTCAGGCGAGAAACCTCATGTTAATCTCATACATGCCCTAACAAACCGAGAACGCATCTCAAGGATTGTTTCGTAAAGTATCATACAAAAACCGAATACACGAAGTGAGATATTCGACACATTTTGTTTCGTATGTTTTGTGTTCTATAAATTCGACTATTTGTATACGTTTGTTCGAGTTTAAAATCATTCTAAAGTAAAACCAGTAAAACGCTTTCCTGATATATCCGAAATTGTTTGAAGTTGTTAATACGTTTAAGAGAAAAAGGCCTCGAGTGCAAACGATTGAAACGTGTTACAATTTGCAACCATCTTTATTTTTGCCCGACTACTCGGCTCGCGAGTTCTACGATAGTTTTAACGATAAACCGAGATCGAAATTCGTTTTTACGCGTTACGTTACACGGCCATGAAAATCGAGGCGAATAAACACTAGCTACTCGTTGAACCGTGTACAACGTAAACCGATATTCCATGCGCGTACAACGGATAACAGGACCACCGCTAAAATTCAATCAGCTGGCCTGGCAAATTTTTAGCGAACCTGTCGATTATCTCGAATCAATTTTCCAACGTTAAAACGAATTTCAGCGAGCCGTTACTCGTGCCCGCGTCGTTAATATTCCATTTTCTCGGTTGGTTTTAATTGCACACCCTGGAACGGACTAAAGTTCGCTAGCGCTCGCGCGTTACTCGCGTTCCACGAGTTGGCGTTTTCTCCGGTCGTCGGGTGCGAAACCTGGCGGTTGCTCGTTATCGTAAAGTTCGCGGCCAACGAACAACGGGAATTTTAAATCGACCAATTTTCCGACTACGAATCAACGGAGCCGCCGCGATGCGATTCGATACGATTCGACAACTTTTAATTAAAAGACCTATTCAAAATGTTTGTTTATCGACTCCATTGACGCTACTAAACATAGGTTGCATAAGCTTTTTCAAAGGTAATCCCGCGATTCATCAGCGTAAACTTCGTTTTGATTGTTTGTTAATATGTATATATTGGGTTGTCCCAAAAGTTTCTTTCGTTTTATTAATAATTAATACATACACAATATTTTATGTTTTATGTTACATTACAAAACTGTGTGCGATTGTGTTTCGTTCCATTACTGTTACACCATCAATGTGTAAAGAAATTAAATTGTCTCTTTATATAAACACTGCCACAGAAAATAATTGAATGCAACTCACGAAAGAAACTTTTAGGACAACCTAATATATTTGTTTATTTGTCAACTGTCAACTATCTTTATTTACTATTTGCTTTATTGCGTCAAATTTCATAATGGATTATACCTAAATAAAATCCAAACAATCGGGAACGTCGCATCGGTCGTTACGTTATTCCGCGTGTTACGACACCGACATTCAATTTTACGTACGATCAAGCTAAGCGGTTCCAGCTCTCGCGTTCGTATCGCGATCTCCGAAGCATATTTTTCGTTACATTCTGTATTTACACAGCGTCGGATCATTTTTTCCAACGAATCGTTAAATTCTGTCGGTGGCAGCAACCTATCGATTTCTAGGAACGATTTATCACCTGATTTTTTCCATTAACCAGCCGTCAGCGGCGGCGATCGTCTGTATTTTCGGGATCAATCGACACGAATGAAGATTGATGGGTCGCCTCTAACCGGAGTTAGTACAACAGGCTGTAAAGGTTCCAAGTACCCCATCGATTGAAATAGTTTAAATCGACTTAACGGCTTGGAATTCGTAGAGTGTTCGTAGAAGTGCGCGTTACGATCGCGACTTCGAATAGACTTGGATCTCGTAACAGGTGAAAGGAAGATCGACAGAGAATCCATAGTTTCGCCCTGTTCAATTAAGAGAATGGAATCGATTCGACTCGGTAGTTTACGCCGCAACATTCGACTCGATTTTCATTTTTTGTTACGCGGCGCGACAAACGAGTTATCGATTCGCGAAACGCGTTTCAACTTTCAACGTACATTGTTCCGGCGTTCGAGCAACGAATTTTATCCGTCGGCATCGCGTCGACCGAGTCGTTAAAGATTTCTTGGAATGCGTCCAACGACTTCCGATCCTCGGATGCATTCAGTCGGTTCGCCTATCTATTTGCATGGAATGAACACGCCGGCCTGAAAACTTGCGGTGCAACGCGATATGTATTCGAAACGGTGAAACCGTTCCTTTCTCGGTCAACTAACCCTAATTTCATCCCTATATGTTCGCACGTGTTGAATCATTTCGTGAATTTAAATAAAGAGTTTCTAAATTCGTTCTTAATACTTCATTTACCGGGAGTCTATTTATAGGCTTTTTAAATATGCAGTATTTAGCTTTTCGAATTTATTTACTGTGTTGATGGTTGTTCGGAAACAGACTTGGCTTTCAACTCGAAACGAATCGGGAACGATTTTGAAAACGAACGAGTCCGAGAGATCGCGTTACACGTGTAAAAAAAAATATTTCGCCGGTTCGGAAAATGGGTCGGACCGGTAGTTTTTTATCCGTTCGAACAAGGACGGAATCTCGAATACGGCGAAAAGGACAATGCGAGTGACGTAATTTCCTGTCGGACCGCGGCGTGCCGAGTCGGAATAATTAAACGGCACATTGTGATCCGTGATGACAGTCTCTGTTGTCCCGGCCCTCGGTAGACGGAACACGGGGTATGGGACGCGAGACTCGTCTGTCAAATTCCAGTCGGCTGAATCAGGCCAGATTAAGTTTCTACCGGGGAGACAGTTTCGCGTGCGTAGGCGATAGGCACGGGTCAGCCAAGATTAACTGTCCACGCAGCGATTTCTGTCCGTTCACGCGTAGAAAATCGTACGAAACGACTGAAAAATAAGGTACCGGTCCGTTTGATGTAACAAATTATCGTAAACGATATTTACGATAATGTATATTTATGTAAGGAAGCGCGGCACTTCCTCTATTCGAATTTCCCGCGCTAACGCACACTGATAAGGTGAAAGAGGAACAACGAATTAGATGAGATAGATAAGAACAGTGCAGATCAACAATAATGAACAATAGTATATAATAATAGTGAACCCTGTGAACAATTGACATTGAATGTTGTTTCTGTGTTTACAGGTAAGGATTGCAAATAGTTGTTTATAAGTTGTATAGTAATAGTAATAAAATAATCATAAATGTGTTTACAGAGAAACAATTCTTGTTAATATAACCGACCTCTATTCTGATATTAAGATTCACATTATATTTATATTAAATATTAATAATTAATATTTACAATGTTACACGATTTTACACGTTTTTTACGAAAACGGAGGTACACAATTTTTGTTGGTGGTACAAATTAGCAGCGATGGGCAAAACCTTAGCGTTCGAATAAATTTGAAGTTTGCCGATATGTTTGTCTCGTTTCCTCTTTTGAATACACATCTCTGCAAATTGGTACAAAATAAGTATTAAATAGTCCGTTAAGTCCGATACGATTCCGCAGATTTGGTCCTGTCAGCTTAAGAGAGATAAAACTAACAGAGGTAGAAAACGATTCGAAAGCTGCTGTCAGCCACATCGTAGAATACAGGGTAGAAATAGTTGCGCTAAATGAAATTAAATTGGAGAAATGAAATCGCTCTGTATTCATCCCCGTTCGCTGTTCCAGACATTCGCCCCAATCCTTTATTCTTCCATTTGTCGGACTTTCCTAGCATTAAGCTTCGAATAATGTTCCGCCTATGCCAGCATTACAATTAATGCGTCGGGGAGAAGTGGGTCAACCTCCGGTAATTGCATCGCATTCATCGACGACCATCCCCTATCGACGACTCGACGACTTCGCTCTATCGAATATCGTTTTTACCCCCGATTACTTTTTGCTCGTCTACACAGTTGTCCCCGCCGATGTCTACTTTTTCGCCTTTTTCTCGGACTCTTTTCCGATTCGTTTTCTCCACCGTCGCTCCACCCTCTTTCTCTTTCTATTCTGCGATCCGGTCTCAATCCTTTTCACTTTATTCTTTCCCGTCCCTTTTCAATATCTCAACGGTCTTTGTCTCCACCCTTTTCGTCGCGTTTCCATCCTATTTTCTCCTCGGCTCGCTTCGGATTCGTTTGCCCCGTCTTTTGTTCCCCTTTCGCTTTCCATCGTTTGCGTTTCTCCGACTCGTCCTACCGAAACATTTCCGATTCTTTCGGCAACTCCTTTTTCTCTGCGAAAATAAGGATAACGTATTCCGTGCACGCGAGAATACGTAACCGTCGTAAAATTGCGAACGTTTCGAGGGGGAGCGGTGTCAGCTGTCCGACGAGTATTCGATAAATCTTGGAATATCGTTACCGGCAACAACGATCGTCTCTCGAACCGTTTTCTTCCAAATGGTTTACTCACGGAACAATCCTTTCGCTGTTCGATGTTTCGAATGAAAACACGCCGAGCAATCCATACAAACGTTACGCGTGTACGTATCGAAAGAACGCCAATTACGATTTTTAAAGCGAACGAAACAATTACGCTGCGCGGTTCGTTGTTTGTTATTTGTATCGGTACGCGTTGCTAGTTTTGTCTCTCCGAACGATTCCGAATCCGCGTATCCCGTCGAAGCGAGCGAAAGTGTCACCGACAGAGTTTCGCGTCGCTTTCACGATGGATTTGCATTCGAACGTAATCAACGTTAATAGATCCGCGTCGGTGGTGCTCGACGCGCGTAATTCGTCTCCATTTGGTTGACGCGGGATCGCTCGATAAAAGATTTACGAGACTAGATCGTCGTTGATCGGGAGACAGAATTTTGTTTGTTTGTAGGGTTGAGTCTATTGTGCTTAACTTGGGGAGCTACTGACTATTCGCTCCCCTTTTTATTTGTTGTTGCACTTATCTTTATATCGTATTTTTTCGCCCTCGGCTTTTTCCATGCTTCGTATCTTTGTTAGCAAGCCCTAACCCAACCATGAACTGCTGACTCTACTGTCTGCCTTCAACCAGAATCTTCTATTCGTCCATAAATTCGGTCCATCGATTCAGATTAACGCATCGCAGGAACGTCACTCTGTGATAATCGTAAATCGAAGCGATTTGTCCTCCCGTTTATCGGATTGTTTCTGTTCGGAAACTTCGTTACGAACATTCTTCCTCCATGGATCGGAGATGGATGACCGACCGTTCTTTTCCGTCCGGATGGAACCGTTTCGTTTTTCGGATCGCGTCAGCGAATTTTCGTTCGGTGGAAACGAGCCGATCGGGAGAGATCATCCCGCGGACACATTTATCGCGACAAAGCGAACGGGTTTGGTATAACGTTCCCTGTCGGCTCGATCTCGTTGTAACAAAATACGTTCTTCGACAGACGACTGACTTGTTATCTTTTTCATTTGTTAATACGAAAAAACAAATTTCACTTTAATTCCGTTACATTACGAACCGTATAAAAAATTGTTACTAGCAGATGCCGTACGAAAGAAGGTCTGCGGGAGGTGACACATTCAAAGCTGGACAGACTAGAAGATTTTTTCTTGGAGTTTCGGATGGTTTTAAACTTCGGTTCTACTCTTTGGGGTAAGAGAGAGAAAATAAGGGCGATAGGGGGGAGAGAGAGAGAGAGAGAGAGAGAGAGAGAGAGAGAGAGAAAAGAGAGGTATGAGGTGGTCGCGTATGCAGCGAACCACGATCGTATTAACTCGATCCTCTGGCACGTAACGGAGGCCCGATTAAAACCGAACGGAATATAAATTGGAGGCTGGCGGAGAGAGCTCGTGAGTCGCTTCGGGTATCGACGATCTCGTTTAATCCTGACCGAGCGCCGACGTTTAGAATATGAGAAGCCCAATGGACCACCCATGGCCGGCCGAGTTCGCTATCTCGCCACGATGATCGAGAGAGCTTGATGACAAAACGAGAGACAAAAGAACGGAGAACCGGCCGGGAACCCGTGAAGCCCGCGAGCCTGGTTCCGTTTCATTCCGGTCTTCCCGACCCGGTTTGTCTCCTCTTCCGTGCCAACTTGACCTCGCGCTTTTCTCTCCGAACCCCGACATTGTTACGTCCGCCCCGGGCCCCGTTTATCGACGCGATGCAACGCGACCATGCGCTCGTCTTTAATTGGGCCTTCGAACCGTTCTCGTCGTCGTTGCCTTCGTCGCTGTCGCGAGCACGCGTCTCGTAGGATCTCCTCAGGCCAGAAACCAGAGACGGGCAAAACCCTAGGCTTCGAATAAATCTGAAGTTCGATACTGTTGTCCGTGCCCGTGCTACAGTTAATGGACTCGGTTCGTACAGCGACTTGTTTATCGACTACATTGACGCTACTAAACATAGGTTGCATATGCTTTCTATAGGTGATCCCGCGATTCGTCTGCGTTAACTTCGTTTTGATTGTTTGTTAATATTTATATATATTTGTTTATTTGTCAACTGTCAACTATCATTATAATGGGTTATGCCCGTATATATTAGGTCCACCGGAAAGTTCCGTCCATTTTTAGGATAAAACAAAATAATAAATTTTTCATACCTTGAATAAATTTGAACGAATGATATAATTTTTATCATTTTTAGGGAATACGCGTACACTTGTTGAAACTTGTTGCGACCGGAACCGATAGAACTTTCCGGTAGACCTAATATATATTGAAATAAATAAAAAAAAGTTTGTCTCGTTTCCTCTTCTGAACATTTTCCAATGTAAGGAAACGGAGACAAACACATCGGCAAACTTCAAACTTATTCGAACGCTAGGGTTTTGCCCATCTCTGCCAGAAACGAACAAGTCGGACTCGCCGGAATCGAGTGCAAAGGGTTTTCTAGTCGCGACCAAAGCTTTCGACGACTCGCGATAGGTAAACCACGAGAACTGCGCGAAGGTTTCGCGACGACCGATTCGCTCGAGAGCGGGCAAGAAATCGGGAACGAGCGGAGAATGCTCGCGGCCAGACGGAGGGATGATTACGGGCCGACATTTTTCTGTTTCCTCTTTCCATTCTGGCTTCGAGATTCGAGCATGATTGGTTGTTTCCAAGGAGAGAGAGGGAGAGAGTACAGTGCGGCGGAATCGGCACCGGTGCAGCGAAGGGGCACCCTCGAAAAAGGGGCCTCTCCTCTCGCCGAGGAGAGGAGAGAGAAAGAGACCAGGGTATCATTACTGTAATGACGGAGTTGGAGCAGAAACACAATTCTCTCCGTCTACCCATTCTCTCTTTCCCTCTTTCAGAGGCAAAGATTCCTTGGAATTTCTTGCTGCTCCTCTTCCCCCTGACCGTGCTTCTCGCATCTTCCGTGGAAGAACGGATCGGCGAGCACTCGACTGGACGCTACGCCGAGTTTGTCCCGCCGTTATTACGTCTATAATGCCCCGGGAGAGGGCCGGCGCAAAAAGGCTAATCACCGGACCCGCGATCGCGCTCGTCGACCCTGACGAACGACTCCTCTTACTCGTTCCACCGCGTATTCGCGGTACCGCGGCTCCCGTCATCCTGCCGATCCTTACTCGAAATTGCGCCCGTGGAAATTTCGTCCTGGAACTATTCGCGACGGCGATTCTGCTACCGGTGTTCCAAGGAAACGTTTCCCAACGTTGGGAACAAAATCTCAGTTTCCGGGGCTAATCACCATCACAAGTTTCGCTACGGATCCCTCGTTAACCAACCTCACCCATTAACCGACTCGGGATACAGGCTGTATACAGGGTGTCCCAAATATGTTGGAGGTCCTTGAAAGTGGTGGTTCCAGGGTGTGATTTGAAACAACTTTTTCCTTGGCGAAAATGTTGTCTGAGGTTTCGTGAAGGAGATATTAAGAGAAAACTACGATCAATCAGAGCTCGCTTCGTCGGTATACTCGTGCTCTGATTGGTTCGGGGTTTTCTGTTAACCCTTTGCACTCGAGAGGTGACTCTCAGTCACTACTAGGTTTCATTTCTTTGGAACTCGAAGTGTCAATAAAATGATTGTCGTTGAGCCAAAGGTGACCTGATTCTCAAATCTCGAATTAGAGATCTCATTTTCAAAGTCAATCTATGCTAAGAAAGCATCTCGAGTTCCTGACAGATACCAGAAAAAAAGGCCTCGAGTGCAAACGGTTAATATATCGGACAACATTTTCGTCAATTTGCTTAGACTAGGTTGACTTCGAAGATGAGATTTCTAATTTGAGATTTGAAAACCAGATCACTCTTGTTCTAACGAAATTGAATCCAAGTTGCTTCGAATCACCCCCTGGACCACCCTTTTCAAGGACCTCCAACGTTTTTGGGACACCCTGTATATTCCGTGCACCTTCCGCGGCTTTCGGGACCGGGATACGCGACTCCGGATCAAAGGGAAATTCCGATACTCCCCGATGAGGTAGCCCCTTAATTAATGGTTTGATACTATGCCTTTGCCTTTACGTGGAGTGTTCTCCATCCGCCATTTTGGTTTCGGCCATTCCGTTCCTTGGCATGTTCGATGTCGATCGAACCGACCGCGCCGCCGCGCTCGCGTAATATCGTTCCTTCGATCAATTTTCCACGAACAAATGATTTTCGCACGATTGAATATAAACAATGTTCTATCTGTGGGATTATTTATCATCGGGGTTCGGATTCCTATACGCGTCGCCACCTGAACGCAGCATTTTGTTTAGATAAGAACGTCCGTTCCTTACCGCGTGACTCGCCGCTGAAAAATCGATGGTCAGTCGAGCGACAACGTGTAATCGAGAAACATTAAAGAATTAATTAAAACAGACACTGTGGGCTCTTGTATTCGGCTTTGCCGTTTTTCCATCCCTATCCCTACATATCGCCATTTCCTATTCAACCAAGTTATAGATAGACGCAACAAATAAGATCTCACCTGGACACCCTGTGCTGAGAGATTCTTCCGTGACTCGGTAGAGTGATGTTGCTGTCGCTCTTCGACCAGGCCACCGAATTCTTCGCATCCGGGAGCTTGACCTTTCCCAGATAAGCTTCGCAAAACAATCTGGCCGCTCCTCCCAGGGGTACCAATTGCGAAGCTGGCCTGTACGTTGGCAGAGGTTTCCCCGTGTACCCGCCGAATTTCTCTCCTGAAAACACAATACGTCCGCTGTAAACTAATCGGGCCAACGCGAGGACGCGTTTTCCTTCGACGTTTTCTTGTGTTAACTCTTTGCACTCGGGACTTTTTTACTACCGGGTATCTATCAGCAACTCGAGATGCTTTCTTAGCATTCTATTCCCAGAAATGGCTTAGGTTGGCTTAGGTTGACCTCGACGATGAGATTTCTAATTTGACATTTGATAAATCAGACCACCCTTGTTCTAATGAAAGGTAAACTTAGACAAATATTATTGCTGGTTGATTCACTGCGTCGAACCTGGTGGTAACCGAGAATCACCTCTCGAGATACTGCATCATGTTAACAGGGTCTACCTGTGTAACGTTTAATTTTCAAGAATTTTCTGTAGGAAAAGTACTAGTGATAAAATCAAAAATTAATGTTAAAACGTCGATCTATCAAATAAGAAAAAATTATCATAATTGCACTAGTACTTTTCCTACAAAAAATTCTTGAAAATTGCCTTGAAAATTAAACGATACACAGGTGGATCCCCTTAAGATGTGATCGGGTCACCTCTCGAGCGCAAAGGGTTAACCGTCATTCTTCTTCGGGCATAGAGGCTATCGACGCTCGAATCGTTTCTAGACAATCCTAGGTTCGAGTCCCTCGATACTTTCGCGAATCGTGATCGTTTAATCGAGACTTCTGTAGCAGTTAACCCAGCCTCGGTTCCCTGGCTCGGTCGATACGAATGAATGAAAACTATTTCATGGAAATACCAGCTATTCGTAACGGTGGTGAATTACTCTTATACGAAAGTGGTATTATTAAAGTGATTTTCATTTCCGGCCGATTCATTCTCTTCCGGTCTGCGCCCTGTACTCCGCGCGCCGTTGAAAACCACCGCGACCGTACCGTCCCCGTTTGCGAGAATAATTACGAAATTTCGTTTCCCTCGCGGAATCCTGGAAATTACTCGTGCGCGCGGTCACCGTCCAACGACGCTCGTCCCCTTTCTCATTCGTGTCACTCAGGCAAAGAACCGACGACCGCAAGCTCTGCTAGATCGTGCATCGCGTTGGGCTACTAGTTTGCTCGATTGCGAACACGTTCGTTCCTTCAAACCCGCAATCAATGTACGGTAACATTTCTATAACCGCGGCGATCGTATATCGCGTATGATAGAAAATTATGCAACTCGAATCAATCATGATTTTTGTTAGCCGATCGGAATAGAGTATCCGAGCTTATTAAACGATCGAGAAGTGGATCGAAGTCTGGCATCGTTACGGCCGTTTCTCTCCAACCGTGTTGCAATTTGCCTCGTGTTAATTTTCCCCGAAGCACACTCGTTAGGTTCAATCGTCTCTCGCATGATCAACCAAGTCCGATGCACCGTGTCCGCTAGGTGATCGATTCGCGAGCAACGTAACAGGATTAATTGGAGTGCCTGCAGCGAGAACTCGATCGCTTTGTCTTTTTCCACCGAAGAATTGATCGTGTATTCGACGGAATACCGAGATACTCGATATTCCAAATCGCCAGGAATCCTCGTTATTCGTTGTTCGTTATCATCGCCGTCGTTCCTTTCTCTAAAGACGAAAGGCTTCGATTTCGATTTCGATTATCGACACGTCCGACCGGTTGATTAAACAATTATTCTTACGAAGCAGAATCACAGCACCGCGCCGCAGCCGAACAGAGTTCGAAATTCCACCAAGATCCTAAACGCACGGGCTTGCTTCGAGAACTTAATACAAACTCCTAGCTACCTAACTTGTCGAAACTTTAACTCCTCTTAACTTACATATCGGAAAATACTGCGCTAACGTTGTTCTTATAAACGATCAGGTTGGAGCACACAGAACTACATTTTAATTCCGTTAGCGAAACGATATTCGTTCTTTCGAAAAGAGTCAACGAAGATTCTGTTCGAGATTTCTAAAAAAAAAAAGGAAGTTCCACGCGTCGTATCCACCGAGTGTTTCCATCTTCGTTTCTCGCTCGGACACGTCTCGTCCTCCCGAAAACGATTCTCGTCGCATATCGCGTCCACGGCCACGTGTACGGTTAATATCCACGATATATCGTTCGATGGGATCGCAAACTCAGGTGCGCACACAGCGGCGTTTGTGTACAGGAACGTGACACGTGTCCGCGGTGCATACATACGCCTTTTACGTGTGCCCAGGTTCGCAACTATGCCAACTCGTGGAACTGACGTTAACGTACGTGTACGTCATTCACAGATCTTTTAGATACCGTGCGTTTCTAATCCGGAAGGTACGCAAGATACGTCTAGGTCGATCGAACGGTCTCTCCGAACGAACTACTGCCAACTCCATTGTACCAACTTCACCGTCCCGACTCTGTCGTTGTCGTCGGTATTTTTTTCTCTCGCAAACGCAAAAAGGAAATCTTTTGTCGCAAATTTCCTTTACTCGAGTCCAATAATTTCACCGAACGCGCGGGATCCGCGGAGATTCGGATTACATCCGGAGCTTGAGTTTCGTTTATGCCGTTGCTTCGATGCGAGACGACTTTCGATACGATCGAATACCAACTCGCCGTCCGTTAACAGAGCTGAGCTATAGTCGACGCGCGTACGATACGCGTGTCGCGACTCGCGTGCACCTCCTCCACTCGTCGCGCATACCTATCAAAATTTTGCGGTTGGTCAGGTCAGGACAGGTTGCTCTTTCTTGTGTCTAAACTCTAGAGTCTAGACTCTAGACTCTAGAGGTCCTACTCGATAAACAACGCAACGATGAAAGAATCGATCGAAGAATCATGCTCGATAATAACCGTACCGAAAGCAAACGAAACTCTTACGTCTCGAGAACGATAACGGGTATACGAGCGAGTGATGTATGCGAGCTACTGCGTGGAAACTTTTTGAAACGATCGAAAGCCGACGCGGAGAAATAAAAGCGCGTAAGTTGCGAAGCGTCGTCGAGAAGCCAGAAGGTAACGAGAAGCGCGAGAGTAAGGACGTTCTGCGAGTTGTGTTTTTCATTCTCTCCACATAAAATTATACTTTCTCGCCGATCCTCGTAAGGTTCGACGGAGGTCCGCCGAGGAAAATTCAAAGCAGCGATCGACCGATCGAGCGATAAATTAAACGACCCCGGGGCTACTATTTCCAGCTCGAAACCACGAAAGCTGTACCCGTCGCGTCGGCGGTGTAGTTACGAGCGAAAGGTCCGCTAACTCGCGATACCCAGCCAGGCAACGAGTACGAAGAGTTTCGAGAAAGACTTCCAAGAATTCTGGTTACCACTGCGAGGAAAGGGCGCGCACCGTTCCATTCGCGGTTTTAAGAGGGTTTCTCGGAAGCGCGCGTGGGCAGCTTTATTCAAATACCTGTACAGCGTACACCTCTCTCCCGCGCCAGCTCTTTCCATGGTCCCCTCTTTCCGTTCTCTTTCGTTCGGTCCAGCGGCGGAGAGAAATCGATGAGTACGCGACTCGATATCTCGGGGCAGTCGCTTTCGACGGCGCTGATGGAGGAGACAGTGGCTCGGCTATGAAGATAGGAACTGGGAAACCGGAACCGAGAACCAACCTCATTTTCTCTTCCTTGTTCCGCGCCAAAGTCGACGATATCACGGCCAACGGATTCGTTCGAGGTCTGAAAATTTCCATTAATCTCCGAGAAGATCATCTCTTTCCAAACGAATCCGTCGAGTCGCTAATGGTTCCGCCATCCTATCCTCGCTACGTGATTCACGGATTTCGATGAAATTTTATTTCCTCCTCGACCGTTAGAGCTCGACCGCCTTGAGCGTACACGTCGGAACCAAGGGAAGCTAACGTTTCCCTTTGCGCAGCGAATAATCCGCGGTCGAAACCATACCGTCTCTCACCGCGGCTTCCGTCGACGTTCGCTCTACCTCGAAATGTATCTTTAACCCATTTGCATCGTAAGCGCGTATATGCGCGCATTTTGTCTGGCCACTATCACCAGAGCGCGAAAGATACATTTTATCAACGTGATAATTGCCATGTGGCATTATGCATTGACCGTTTCAAGTCTTGTCATGTCGCGCAAAATAATTACGCTCCGTTTCTTTTATTATTATTAATCCATAATGAAATAAAAATTCTTTAAAATTCTTTACTTACGCGATATTGTCTTTATTTTTCATATTTCGAGACACTTTCATTAAAATACGATTAAAACAAAAATGTTAGCGACAAGAACGAATTTTCCACTCTTCGAATGGGTTAAACTACGATTTTGAAATTTTAGCGCAGGATAGCTCGATGTCCTCGCGCGGTCGATTATCGCGAGCCAAAGGGTATCGATGATTCGACAGGCTTAATCCTGGATACAGGATGCCTGCGATGCTCGATGAAGAACAGCTCGCTTTTCCTTGTTACATCGAGCCGCTCTGCTTAATCGATTAACATCCTCGCAAGGCTATTGGCCCGTTATACTCTGCCGCTGTAGCCGGGCACAACCGGAACAGCCCATGAAACCATAGGCCTTCCTTCGCCTTATGCTATATGCCTGTCTTCGAACGACTCCGATTCGAACGTTTCGCCCAACCGAACCGCTCAGACGATTCGACTCTCCGAAAGGTTGCTCGCCTTCTCCGCTATTTATCTTTTTTGTCGAAAATAGACTGTTCGTGGATTATTTACACGCCTTTAAGCGCCAATCTCTTTCACGGTTTGGACCACAAAAAAAAAAAAAAAAGAAAGAAATGCTTGACTCGTGTTACGTCTCTCCACCGAGCCATAAAACTTTGGCAAGGAACGTTTTCTTTTAATTTGTATAGTAAGGAAGAGGGATACTATCGGAAGTAAACAGGCAGTTTTGTCGATCGGTTAGTCTCTCAGGAAAGACGAGACGGCGCTAGATAAACAAATACATGGATGGGTGATTGAACGGAGGAACGGATAGGGAAGAGGAGAGGTGTTCGACGAGCAGAAATAGTCAGGAGAGATAGCGCGCGGTGCAATAGCTAATTGCATTACCGGCAGCATCATCGGTGCAGCCTCCTCTCGCTGCGAGATCGTACGCATTTACTTAATGTATATGGCGTACAACCACTCTGTGCACTTACCCCTGAGATATTGGCTCATAATTCTCTCCTCCCGCATCCCTAGCCGTCGCTGAACGTGTATGCATATTTATAAAGGTCGAGTTTCAACGGGTTAGTGGCTCGGAAATTAATTTCGTTTCGCTAGACCCGGTACAACTTTCTTCTTTCCGTGCTCCTCGCCGTTTTTCGCTCTTGCTCGCGTTCTTCCTTTATTCGCGAAACGTAAACCGTGGCTACGGCGAAATGGTCGCGAGTCGGGCGACGCAATTTAGAACGGCGTTCCACCGTCATCGCAACGTTTGACGGGCAGAAAATAAACGACTCCAGAATAATGAATCGTCGACGTGGCTCGTCTCGTTTACAATTCCACGTTTAAATTTGGCTCGATGGCGGTCGACCATCGATTCGTCAACCTCTGTCATTTCGTACTTAGATATTCTGTTCGCGAAGACTTCTGTTTCGTTCGTTTCGAAAGCACGCGGATATTCGTTTAGCTTGGAAACGAGCTCGTTCGGTTCGTTCATCATTCGCTGTTGAACGCTTGGTTTTCCGGAAGAGAACGCACGACCGTTCTCGAAAAAAACTCATTCCGCTGACAAGAATGATACCCGTTCGACGCTGGCGGATCAAGTCTATCCCGGAAGCCGATGGAAATTGCGAGGAAACGAGGCTATCGCGGCCGAGACAGCGAGACGGATACGCCTGTAGAGAAGTGGAAAGCCGAGGAGGGTGAATAATATTATATAATATTGTAAGGATCCTGCTACGCACGTAGATTATACAACGTTTAGGCCCTATCTCGAGGCGAATGTGAAGCCGGCGACTGACTTCCAAAAGAACGCTGTAATGTAACTGCTCGGCACGAATTTTACGGTTCGATACCAACGTTACATTATAAGGTCCTTTTTGGAATCACGAATGCTCGCTTCGAACTCTCGGCTGGATTCTCTCTCAATGCTTCCTACTCAATTCAGTGAAAAGTAGACGATCAAAGAAGTTCGTCAAAAAACCGACAGACCAGTGGAGCACGGTCGAGTGCAAGTCCGTCCAAATTAAGCGAATGCTCGCGTTACATTACAATGTTCTGTTGCAAGTCAGTCGCCGGCTTAACGTTCGACGATCGCGAACCGTCGACGACGCCATTCGAGTATCGGACGCCGAATAAAGTACACGTGCATTTAATTTACGCAATTTAGGCCGATCGCACACGGGCGCAACCGATCAGTTTCAAACCACTCTGAAACTAGTTGCATGCGACCGTGGATCTAAGTAAAACAAAGATAGTGGAATAGGTATCGTAAAACAAAGAGCGCAAACGGTTTGCAACACTAATTTCAAATCGGTCGCGCCCGTGTGCGTTCGGCCTTAGTTTTACTTTCCTTCGCGTTCCCTCCTGATTCCGTTACAATGTATTGTATGAGAAGTTTTCCGAAAGAAAATGCTGCCAGCTAGCCACATAATCGGTGGTTCGTACACCGAGATCCAACTGCGAAAGGAGTGGTAGCTGGCAACTAGGACGAGCGTGAGAGCGCAATTAGTCGTCGCCGAGAAGAACACGCGAGATACCGTGAAACGACAGAAATTTGTTCGAGGAAAGCGTCTAATCGGGATTCTGCGAAGCTAACGTTTACTCTCTTGCGTCGAGTTATCTCGATGCGCGTTGCGCGCATCCGACCGATAACTGTTGTACGGTACCGTCGCCTCCGCGACGCTTCTCCTCGTCTTCGTCTTTCTAGCCCGCCCCCATACTCGCGACGCGACGGTTTAATTTCCGAGGAAAAGAATCGACCCGCGCCTCCTAGAACCGCCACCCACGCGGAGACCGTGACGCATCGATCGACTCAACACTCCCACGAACCGATCGCTCTCTACCGGGGCTCGCGTTCGACGTAAATCATCCCTGGAAACGCCGTGGCTCGCGAGACGGGAACGAAAAGACGGGTGTAAATAAGCGAGAACCAAACTTATTTTCCAAGTAGCTACCTATCGAGTATCGATCGACGGGAATACGCCTTGCGTGCCTTCGCGTACGCGTATATCGTTGCACATCGAACTTTCGGCGCGCACCTGTTACGGGTTAGGCTACGGTTACTATGGATGCGAATTCGGACGAAAATGTGTTCGGACGAAAAAATCAAACTTGTTTGAAACCTCAACTAGTTCTGACGCCGTCGTGAATGTTCTGACATGTTTATCGTCGCTAGTGTAAACACTCTCATTGAAAAATAGGCGTTTGTTTGTTCGGACGAATTCGTCAGAACTCGTCCGAACATATTTTCGTCCGAATTCGCATCCATAGTAACCGTAGCCTTACGCCGGATAAACGACGAGGATAAACGCTCGTTTGGAATGACCATTCAACTATCCCGAACCGTCATTTCAACTCGACATCAGAGCTCCGTGGAATAATTATTGTTACAATAATGCAGAACGAAAAACTAATCATCATCCATTAATTGTCCGAATAGGGTCCAATAGTCTCTCCACACATCTTTCTTTTCTTTACCATTTTATGAACCGCAAAACGACGTTTTCTTTTCTTACTTTTTTCCCCTTCGTCTAATAAGAATAAGTGTGAAAACATTTTCAACGACAATCAGTAACGACGTTCGTTGCCTGTCGTATGACATACATACTACATTGCTTTTGTCGGAACCTGAACTGATCGGAAACGCGTCTGAACGGATAATATAAATCGACCTTAAATCGAACCGTCTTCACGGCTCTCGGACGGTAGCGCAAACAAAAATCGAGCTTTCTTTTGAAAACGACGAGGACGACATTTTTTCTCTATTTTACTCAGTGGGAATAACGATGGGCGATGTTTCGAATGGAATAGTAAAAACTCGACTCACCAAGAACGGCGAGAGTGATGTCTCCTTCGAGGATGGTCGTATCGTTTCTAGCACGACAGGAATATCGTCCCGCATCCGAGGCTCCCACCATTTGCGCGTAAATCGTCTGGTTCGCGCTCTCCGGGTACAGGATGAAACGGCTCTCGCCACCTGGCCAAGGATAAGCCCTGTTGTCCTTGTACCTGAAACAATGCAAGCAACGAAGCGTCTCTTAGAGCGATCCGGACTCGGAGTTTCTTAGGTTCGACCGATAAACAAATCTACCGGTTCGAACGAACAATGTCCTTTAGGTTTTAATTCAGTTTTTCTTCGATGTAGTTTCTTCGGATCGAAACGTTACGAAAAAGGAACACGTTTTCCTTTGTTTCTTCTCGTTCCTCGGGAGGAGCCTTCTTTCTCGAGCCGCTCCCTGCTCGAAGACGACGAGAACGCCCGTTTGGCTCTCGACTCGTTCACCTGACTTCCGAGAAACCTTTATTTGCGTTCAACAGCACCTCGAGCCGACGCGTCGCGGCGGATATCTTCGTACACGTATATTACGCGGAAGAAATTACGAGACGAACGGTAGGCATTGTCCTGAAATACGCTTTTGTTCGTCGGCATCTGACGAAACGTCACGTTTCGAAGCGATATTCGTCGTATCCACGTTGCGTCCGTGACACGGGCAGCTTTTGCTATCTCGTTCGAGACGAGCGGTTGCCGCGTAAATACACGCGCACCCGATATTACGAGAGGCTCGACTCTTTCTTTCGTTCGTCCGACGCGTGGCAAATGGACGATTCGGTTCCAATGATTTTTAATGATATTCTAATTGTAAAGTTTTCGAATAAAGGAAACGTCGGCATCGAGACGCATTCGAAACGGTCGATTTAGGCCGATCGCACACGGACGCAGCTGATCAGTTTCGAACCACTCTGAAACCAGCGATGGGCAAAATCGTAATCGCAAATACGAATACGATTGTAATCGAATGTTTTCAGATTCGTGTTCGTCGCATTAAAAAATTTAGAAAACCATTCTTTTGTCAAAGCAAATTTTTTTAGAAAAGTTACCCTATCTAGGCTCTTCTCTATGGGCACGAATTTTAATTGAAAATTTTTCATTTTTGATTTCGACGAATGTATGGTTTTCAAAGTTTTTTGGGGTGAGGAACACGAATCTGAAGTCGGTTTTAAGGTAAAGAATTTCTATGGCTGTAAACCTTTAAAAATACGGTCGTATTCGTATTTGCGATTACGATTTTGTCCATCACTGTCTGAAACTAGTTGCATGCGATCGTGGATCTAGGTAAAACAAAGGCTGAACACGCACACGGGCGCGACCGATTTGAAATTAGTGTTGCAAACCGTTTGCGCTCTTTGTTTTACGATACCTGCTCCGCTATCTTTGTTTTACTTAGATCCACGGTCGCATGCAACTAGTTTCAGAGTGGTTTGAAACGGATCAGTTGCGCCCATGTACGATCGGTCAAAGAGTGCAAACATCTTGCAACACTAATTTCAAATCGATCGCGCCCGTATGCGTTCGGTCTAATTGAAACTGCCTCGAACCGCGAGCGGCGAACGAAGAAAATTTTCGGCTCCGCGAAACGTTTCTTCGCGGTCGAGATAATTACGCTCTCGCCGATATTTTTGATCGCGGTTCACGGAACGTGGCTCTCCCGGGAAATTGTGGGGTGAAAAGCAGCGGACAGGATACGCCGATTACGCAGGGACTCGGATCGATTTCGAGCCGAGTAATCTTCCACTTTTCTGTTCGCAGAAATGATTAGAGGGGAAAAGCGAGCCGCTGGTGTTGTTGGTGTTGCTACTGCGACCGCCGCTACACCGATACGGTTCTATGCTCGCGCCCAACATTTCCACGCCATCGACTACGACTGCATGTCCCGCCGTCGCCGATGCGATGTGTTGGCTCGCGTCGCGTCGCGTCCGTTCTTCTTGGAAACTTCATCGCCGCGGACTGCGGTCGTGGCGATCGATTCTCTGTTTTGTCGGTCTTTTCGAAATCGTTCGCGTTGTTCTCGTCGTACCGCGCGTAAAAACAACGTCGAGAATTGCTATTGTTCGAGAAAAAAAAATACGAAGGGAAAACGGATATGGAATAACCGAAGACGAAAGAAACAAAGATTTCGTTAATCTGTTTTCGAGTCCTCGATAAAGGAAATCGAACGAAATAAACGTAAACGAAGGAAATCGAACGAGGACACGGATCGAAAATTCGGCGAGCCAGGGACGCCTGGCTTCTCCGGTCTCGACGTAATTTCAAGAGAGCGGCGATTCCGAAGGTCGACCTCGCGTGTTGCAACTGCATCTCGTGCCACGATTGCTTCCAAGAAACCGAGTCGTCCTAGAAACCTTTTTCCCGCTAAAACGAACGTCAATTTCAACAACGCCGACGACGGCCCGTTGACGAAACCACCGAAAACTCGAGGAGAGACGTCTTCTCCGTATCGTGTTACGTTATTCGCGTTGGTTCGACTCGAAATCTCTCGGAACCGTCATCCGACATCGACATGTATTCAATTCGGTGGATGGAAATATTTACTTACAACCCAACATTGGCGAACGACGTCGTTATTTACTAAACGATCGATTCCACGCTCGACGAAACGGCACGAGAAATTCTCGATCGCGTATCCGACTTTTAATTAACGACGAGCAACTTTGTACGGCTGCTCCCCGGGGCCAATAAAAGTGCGACCGATCTATCCGGTGTCACGTTTTGGCAGCTCGTAAATATCGGACCGACTTTTCGTTACCTTTAAAAGTGGTTACTTCGAACGCGGTCGCGTAATGGTTTACATACGGAAAACTGATCATCCAGGGTCGCGAAAGTCTGCGATAAGACGCATAATCGGGTACGGCCGGGTCTTACAACGAATCGATATCTTGTCGTTTTACAACGAATCGATATCTTGTCGTCTAAACAACGGCGATATTAGATGGCGTGAGAATACCGCGTCGCGACGATCGTCGTTTGAAATTGCAACGTAGGTAAGTAGTGTAAGTACTAGCTAGTCGGCGTTCTTTGGCGGCACACGAGAGTTGTCGCTCTTTTGTTTAAAATGTTTAGTAGAGTGTCGCATCAGTCGCCCGGTAGATTTAGCGCGAGAGTCGGTGGTTCGGAATAAAAGTAATATTAACAGGAATTTATGTTGATTTACGATACCTAACCGCGATAGAGCTCCCAACGAAAGCAGATTTTTCATCGAGCTCGAATGTTCATTTTTTCCGGTTCAAATCGTTCGATATCGTGGTCGAGGATTTTAATAACCGGCGATTTTTCACCGGCCGAACTAAATTACCATCCGCGTTCGATTCCGTGACTTTTCTATTACCCGTGAGATCGATAACTAACTGAGAGATAGTGTAACGACTTTGGCTTTCCACGGAAACCCAAAGTGTCGCGACGAAGCGCGTATGTACTGAGACACGTTTCTCGTTGCGAGTCGATCGGTGTACCCGGCGTGTTCGCGTCACCCTCGACGGACTTGGTCTAGATAACCTCATATAAATATAATGCATCGTGGGTGGCAGATGCGATCGATGGATTCGCTCCAACGGCTCGAAACGTTTCGCCGAACTGTAAACATAAAGCGGGAGTTCGTGGAACATTATTTCCCGGTAAACGTGCGTTTCGAGTGCGAGGTATAGGAGTATGTATACGCGGGCCGCGCCACACCTTCTTATCCATAGGAACGCGTTCCCTGGGAATTCGATTCCCGTCTCTCGGAACTTTTCTCTTATCGCGTGGCCAGCGCCAAGCGTTTGGTCACGCCGCCAATTTATCGCGATTTTCGCAACGAGGACACGATCGCGGATATCTCTCGTTTCGCGATTTTGCTATATTCCAAACATTATTACTAATCATCTCCATGTCGTCCCGATCAACAACGATTCTTATTATAAGGCTTCACGCGGGAGAAAGTAGAAGTCAACCGTCGATCGAGACCTGATCGAAGAGTACAAGACCACGTCCAGGAACCTCCAGGAACGTCTAAAGCCGTCCTTACCTTCGAAACGTGGGCGCGTGCACGTCCTCTAACCAAGGCGGAATAAAGTAATCCGTAATGCAGCGGATAAGAGAGTTTCCGAAAGGAAGCGTCTCTCGGCCGACGCAAAGGTCGACTTTCTTCCCTCCAGACGCGAATCCGCGCGGATCAAAGGGATCCGTGAACCAGCGGAATAGTCTCCGTACACGGGCACGTCTCTCCGCTTTCTAGACCAGCTTGTCTCGTCTTCGATTCGAGCCGACTCGAATCAAGTCGAGCCGCTGTCGCGTTCGCGAATCCGGCGTACCTATCTCTCTTGGGAGAGAAAGGAAATGTTTCGTGCGACTCGATTTCCCGCGACCACGCCGCGCCTCGCCTCGCCATGCCACGTAAATCCACTTTCTTGTTGGTTCGCATGGAGATCAAAGGCCGATCCGGAAGCCTGTCGCGCTCAAAGGACTTTTCCGTTTCACGAGCGGTCAGTATCCGGCTCGAATCGATATACCGAGGTCTCGGATTCCAACCAACGGGAACGTATACCTCGCGAAAAAAATTCCATTTTTTCTAGTCAATTATCGTATCGAGTGACAGCCTCGCTTTTAAAGCGATTTATAGCGATCGGCCCTCGGGATCCCGGGCAGCGTTCTTTCCTCGATAATAGCAGGTAACGTAGGTATTCGTTGATCGTCAACCCCTTTACTCGGGTTAGTTAGCAATTTGGTCTTGTCTTCAGCCAATTCGCCGGCGAAAAGAGGAAAGGATCATCCTCGAGGCCTGATGAGATTGCGCCGATCCAATTACCCGAGGCTTGAAAAGGATCTCCGGACACCGACCGGGAATACCGATGCTTTCCTTAATACTCGCTGTAATTCACCTCTCCTCGTAAAACACGTTCGTGACACGTTTCATGAATGTAAGATTTGAACGGTCCCGCCGAACTGATCACAACACGCATGATAGCGTAGGCTCCGGGACGACAGGTAAGGATAAGAAACCACGTGCAGAGAGAGAGAGAGAGAGAGAGAGAGAGAGAAAATAAGCCGAGTTTGATGTACACTCGAGAATAATTGTTTAGGTTAAGGAATTAAATTATTTAATTAATGCGCTCGAGGCATTTTTCTATCAAATCAAATCCAGTCAATTTTTATAATAAATTTCTGTGAAAGCAAAAACTCTACATCGAAGAAAAAC